GAATTAAACATTCTAGGGGGTTAAATAAATAATTTTCATTTAATAATCTGTTGTTGTACATTATAGTTTTGGAGAATCATTACATTTGACTGAGAGTGTACTAGAAGTATGACAAAATGGCTCAGGGGGTACACAAGTCTAAGGTTGGGAACCACTGCTTTAGAGGTCCATTGACAACTTCCTTCTCTGGAAGTCAACAATTAGCTGAGCTAATTTAGCTCTATTAATTAAGTATTTGTGTTTTAAGGACCAAGTTACTGTCAGCACATCATCCCACTAGTTTCTGAACATCCAGAGATAAGTCYTATCAAGATGGTGTTATCTAGTTCTGCAACAATTAGTCGACATAATTAACATGATGCTACAGTCACAAAAATACTAACTGCAGTTTAAAGCCTCAGTTCAGTTCATCAGTCTTCTTTATGATGGATCGGGCGTTGGAGATAAAAATACAGGGACGCTGTGGATGAAGTGGTTGTTTCTTTAGCTGTGCAGTCTCTCTGTTGCCTTCTTTGTTTACTCTTCATTCTGTGCTTAATGGCACCACAGCGGATCCTGAGGTCCGCCTATGTTTTATGATATGTTGCGACAGCATCGTCCTTTCACAACACTTCACCCAACATACTTCTAACRATTCCACTCAAACAAACATACAAACAAAATGAACAGAGCACTGAAAGTTGGGAGCTGTTAGCCACCGTCATCACCTTTGTTTCATCCTCCAGATCAGGGTTCTCATCACGTGTTGTTATGGTGATACAGCTCTGTAACTGGCGACTTGACCATTGGTTGACTTACTTTTGATGTCTTGTCCACCAGGCGGCRTCCTTCGGGAAGTGTTTCCTGACAGACTTCAGTCCCGATCACTTTGTGACCACCTGCAGGGAGCTACGAGTGCTGAACGCTGTCAGAGAGAGCAGCGTGGGAATGCCGCTCACGCACACTCAGTATCCTTTAATGCCTCACAGTTGCATCATGGGACATTACGTCTCAGTGCTGGTTATTACATCAAACATATAATTTGTTCAGGGGGTCCATGGTTCCTTGACTTCTGATGTCAGATTCAAGCAGATGACTCTACAGGTGCTGATTGATAGGTGACTCAGATTGTTCAAACTTTCCTAGCTAACATGGCTACTGTTCCTGTCAGTCACTGGAGTCTCCCCTGAGTCTCCCCTGAGTCTCCTCTGAGTCTCACCTGTGTTTGTCCGTCTCTTAGGTTGTTGTATCGACAGTTTTATCCATTAGCCATAGAAATTTGTCGCTACCTGAAGATTCCTGACTATCAGGGTGTCAGCAGGGTCCTTAAGCACTGGGCGTCCTGCAAGGTAACYACTCTCATTCGTCTCACCTGAGGCCTCTCCACACGTTGTACTGATGTGTCGTGTGTTTGTGGGCGTGTCCAGGTGCAGCAGAAGGACCTATCGGATGAGGCCATAGCTCGAGCCGTGTGTGCCAAAGTGGGAGACGCGCCTGGAGTTTCTTACTCGTACATCGCTGCTAAAGCTTATGAGTGTGGGCACACTGAGCTCGCCATCAAGGTACCTCACTGCCACCCTGCAGAAAGTACTCACCTGGTTCGAAGGTAGTCTGTGTAACTACTACCAAGCTGCAGAAAGTACTCACCTGGTTTGATTGTAGTCTGTGTAGTACTACCAAGCTGCAGAAAGTACTCACCTGGTTTGATTGTAGTCTGTGTAGTACTACCAAGCTGCAGAAAGTACTCACCTGGTCCGAAGGTAGTCTGTGTAGTACTACCAAGCTGCAGAAAGTACTCACCTAGTTCGATTGTAGTCTGTGTAGTACTACGAAGCTGAAGAAAGTACTCACCTGGTTCGAAGGTAGTCTGTGTAGTACTACCAAGCTGCAGAAAGTACTCATTGGGTTCAATAGTAGTCTGTGTAGTACTACCAAGCTGCAGAATACTCCCTGGGTTCGATAGTAGTCTGTGTAGTACTACTAAGCTGCAGAAAGTACTCACCTGGTTTGATTGTAGTCTGTGTAGTACTACCAAGCTGCAGAAAGTACTCACCTGGTTCGATTGTAGTCTCTGTAGTACTACGAAGCTGCAGAAAGTACTCACCTGGTTCGATTGTAGTCTGTGTAGTACTACCAAGCTGCAGAAAGTACTCACCTGGTTCGATAGTAGTCTGTGTAGTACTATGAAGCTGCAGAAAGTACTCACCTGGTTCGAAGGTAGTCTGTGTAGTACTACCAAGCTGCAGAAAGTACTCATTGGGTTCGATAGTAGTCTGTGTAGTACTACCAAGCTGCAGAATACTCCCTGGGTTCGATAGTAGTCTGTGTAGTACTACTAAGTGGCAGAAAGTACTCACCTGGTTCGATAGTAGTCTGTGTAGTACTACCAAGTGGCAGAAAGTACTCATTGGATTCGATAGTAGTCTGTGTAGTACTACCAAGCTGCAGAAAGTGCTCCCTGAGTATATTAGTAGTCTTTGTAGTACTACCAAGATCAGCATCTAAGTACATCACTGCCAGGCTGCAGAAAAGTACTCACTGGGTTTGATAGATGCTAAACTTCATAGTACTACACAGAGTACTAAGTACATCACCACTAGGCTGCAGAAAGTACTCACTAGGTTTGGTAGTGGTTTTTGCTGTACTACCAACTCTTTGTCATGTACCTGACCACCAGACCGTGAAAAATACTTTGATTGGTTTGCGGTACTCCTTTTTGTGTATGTAGTACTGTTTTTCTGTATWGTACTGCAGTATTTTTAGCAATTACCTGCAATACTTTATAGTATTTTTTACAATATTTTGTAGACGTTTCTGCAGTGTGATAAAATATCTTCTGTGTTCTGTAATGTTTGGTTGTTGTATCTTTGAATGTTTTGTAGTATTCCTCACCATCTTTCTGTAGTGTTTGCATGTTTTGTAGTATTTTGTTGTCTATGTTTATAATTTTACCTTTTTTAATTATGAATTTTTCTCTGAAATACGTTTTTTTCCCCCACATAATTTCATGTAATACTAACTAAATTATTTGTGCGGTTTCAGCTGCTGGACTTTGAGGCTCGCTCTGGTGAACAGGTTCCTCTGCTCCTGAAGATGAAGAGGAGTCAGCTGGCCCTCAGTAAAGCTGTGGAGAGCGGTGACACTGACCTGGGTGAGTGCTTATAGACTCTTCACCTGCATGTCCTCCAGGTGTGTGACCTGTTACTGATGGTCAGGTGTGTTGTCAGTTTACACAGTGGTGACGTACCTGAAGAATGAGATGAATCGAGGAGATTTCTTCATGACTCTGAGGAACCAGCCGGTGGCGCTCAGCCTCTACAGACAGGTGAGTTCACCTGGTTGAACCTTGTTGGGTTTTAGCTTCTACCTGCTAGCTGGCAGCAGTCAACCATTTTCTCCTCCACTGCTGAGGAGCCTGAGGCTGTGTCTCAATTCAGGGGCTGCAGCCTACCTAGACTGCGGCCCACATAGGCCACAGCCTACGCAGTCCGTGTAGGCTGCAGGAAATGCTGTGAAATGAGGCCTTCGGATGACGTACTGTATGTTTGTGTGACCATGCACTACCTCGTTACCATAGTGATATGTTTTATGGAATGTGCCTTCAGACTTAAAGTGTTTTGTGACATGTATACATGTCTTTTCACTGGAGGAATAACTTCACAATTAGAAACGTTACTTGTAAATAAATAAAAAAACGTATCCGTCTTTTTTTTATCTGTTTAATTTGCTTTGGGTGCAACAAATCCTGGGATCTCCTTGGCCAGAAAGGATACTCAGATGCAGCCTACGTTTTTGGGGTTATATGGACCACACGATAAGGAGTCCACAAATTGAAACAGCCKTTTTCACAGGGCAGTGACGTAATCGGTCAGCAAATGCGCACTTTGACTGATGCAGCCACTGATTTGAGACACGGCCGAAAAGTATAATGCTAGCTCAAATGTTAGCATTGTGAGTAAATGTTAAAGGGGCGATATTATGTGCTTTCCAAGCCTATATTTCAATTTTTTACTAAAATAAAGTAACTATGTCACATTTTCAGCTTATGAAAGAGCTATATTTGTAAAAATCCCCAAAACAATTTACTTCTCATTTTGACAGTTTCTAAACGCCTTGAAATAGGTCTCTGTCTCTTTAAGAAAATCCAGCCACTTCGGTCACGCCCATTTCAGCACGTCATCACAACAGTTTCATGCCGCTGCTTTCAACTTCATGCCGC